CTATTTATCTATTTATCTATTTATCTATTTATCTATTTATCTATTTATCCATTCATTCATATTTATATAGCCGCCCATCTCACAAAATGTGATTCTGGGTGGTGCACAATAAAAAAAAATTTTTTTTTAATATAAAAAACAATCAGCAATTAAAGAAATAAAAAAATAATATTACAATTTTTAAAAGGCAAGAAGAACGTGACAGATTAACAACAGGGGAGCCACCTCAATAACTCACCATTCCGTTAGGGCCCCCAAGCCTGATGGCATAGCCAAGTCTTGAGGGACTTGTGAAAGGTTAACAGGGATGAAGCCAGCCTGACCTTGGAGGGGATGATGTTCCATAAGGTGGACCCCACAGCAGAAAAGGCCCATCTTCAGGGTCCCACCAGATGTAGCTGTTTAGCAGACGGGATCTGCAACATACCTCTTCTGCTGGATCTGATGGGACAGGCAGATGTAATTAGGAAGAGGTGGTCCCTCAGATAACCCAGCCCCATGCCATGAAGGACTGTAAAGGTCAAAACCAGCACCTTGAATTGGACCTGGAAGCAAACTGGCAGCCAATGCAGCTTGTGGGGCAGAGGTGTAACGTGTGCCATTCTAGGGGCACACACAACTGTCCACATTGCTGCATTCTGCACTGGTTGAAGCTTTCAGATACTCTTCAAGGGCAGCCCCATGTAGAGTGCATTACAACAGTCCATCCAAGAACTGACCAGGGCATGAGTGACAGCGAGCAGAGCCTCCCAATCTAGGAACAGGTGCAAATGGTGCACAACACAAAGCTGTGCAAAGGCCCTCCTAGCCATGACTGCCACCTGCTCTTTGAGCAGGAGTCGCGAGTCTAGAATAACCCCAAATTGTACACTGGGTCTGTTTGGGGCAGTGCAACCCCATCCAGAATCAAAGATGGCATAGTCCCAGAAATGGAAGGCCTCAAAACCCAGAGCCACTCAATCTTGCCAGGGTTTAATTAAAGCCTGTTGCTCCCCATCCAGATCCCTATAGCCTCCAGGCACCGGAATAAGACATCAACAGCATTACTTTATTCACCAGGGGCAGAGATTATTAATTGGGTATCATCAGCGTATTGATGACACCTCATCCCATGGCAGCAGATGAGCTCACCCAGCAGCTTCGTGTAGAAGTTGAATAGGAGAGGAGAGAGCACTGAACCCTGCAGCACGCCACATATTAGGGGCTAAGGGCGGGATCTCTCCACCCCAGTCACCACCAACTGGTATTGACCCTGGAGAAAGAAGACGAACCAGCACAATACAGTGCCATCCATTCCCAATCCCTGGAAACAGCCCAGAAGGATACAATGGTTGATGGTATCAAAGGCCACTGAGAGGTCAAGCAGAGCAAGGATGGTTGCACAACCCCCATCCTGCTCTCCCCGAGATCATCTAAAAGTATGACCAATGCCATTTCTGTCCCTTACTCAGGCCTGAATCCTGACTGAAAGGGATTGTATAGCTGGTTATTGATAAGTCATTGGATACCATAGGCTGATTTGGCCAAGAAATTAGCCATGAAAACCAGCACCAGTGAATTTTGCATAACATACTAAGAAAATTCAGGCACTCCTCTTCTAATCCTAGAAACGCTCTAATGGGGCATGTATGCTTGTACACACATACATAGATGTGTATGTGCCTGTACGCTTGTGCAGTCAATGTTGGTTAAAAAGACATTCTCATATGATTACCCTCCAGGGAGGAACATTTGTGTCCTTCAGGGTATATTCCTGGAAATGCTGGCAAATAAACAAGCACTTACTTGAAGAAAGTAGAGAATTGTGCAGCTGGGTTCTTGATGCTGGGTGGGAAGAGGAGGAATAGTTTCTTGCTATGATTGATGCCTTTGTGTGGCCCCCGCGTAAATCCAGAGGAGCTCTCCTTTTGCATCCTGACTGCTCCTCTCGATTGATGGGTTTCCTTCTGTTTCCTTATTGAAAACAAAGAGAGTGGTCTTGCTTCAAACAGCTGTGGCGGTGTGTGTGATGTTATTAGATCCTCTGGCATCCCTTGATGCTGCCTCTGTGCCTCGAGTCAGCGTAACTGTTCTCTCCATCAAAGCCTCAGGCTGCCGAGAGTGCCAGTTTTTCCTCCCCTGACTCCAGTGGGTTGAATCCATTTGTTGTTCATTCCATTCTTGAGAAAACTGATGCTCTTTGGTACTTTGCAAGCGTAAGGGACGTTTCCATGAATACTGGCACTTTTTTTTAAATTACAAATTATGTATCAAAGCATAAGACAAAAAGGCTGTGATCATTCTTCCTTTTGAAAACATGAAAATCAACCATTATTTGAATCTCTAACAATACACATGTTCCTTCAGAGCAGCAGTAAGAACATAATAGTCCTTAAGTTTATGTTGGAGAGAATGACATTTTAAATAAGGCTCCTTATTTTTCTGTTCTTGCCTTTGGTAGTTACAGTATTCCATAAGTTACCATGCTGATTTACTGCCACTGAGAAATTATATAAAACTGTACGAAGGCTAGAATTGTCTTTTTTTCGTTAAACAAATCTAGGATTCCAGGTAAGCTTAGAAGTACATACCACCTATCACTCTGAGTTGATGAACTGAATTAGAGAAATGGAAGCAGTATATTTCTGTAGGTGAATACATGAATGCATGACTTTCCATCTAGCTTAAACATTGTCCTTCATTCCTTTGCAGTTATCTTTGCTTACATCTTTCATCTTGAAAGATGTGGTTAAAACATCTTTCATTTTTAAAGAACAATTGTCTTACATCAGAATGTCTATTCATGTGTTATACAAGTGAGACAAATACTGTGATCAGAGTTCACTGTCACCTTCACAGTGCCTTTGTAAAAGTGTGTAAAAGCAGCATGTGTTCAGTATCTTTACTGCATATGTTCATATTTCTAACCCCCCAAATTATCATCATCATCTTCCAATGCCCTTTTTTCTTCTTCAGCTATCTGGTGTACTTGCAACATTCCATGCCCACCTATGATCCTTGGTAGGTAGAGTCGGCCAACTTCACTGCATGGATGAAGGGCATGATTCATTGTCATTATTTTTCTGGTCTTCCTATCCAGGA